CCTCCTCTATCTCCTCCACCCATCCACTAACTCCTCCATCTCCTCCACCCATCCACTGACTCCTCCATCCCTCCTTTATCTCCTCCACCCATCCTCTAACTCCTCATCCCTCCTCCTCTGATAACCTCCACCCATCCACTAACTCCTCCCTCCTCCATCTGCTCATTTCTACTCATTCCCTAATTAATCCATCCATCAACACCCCCACGCCTGCCCCTTATACCTTCTCCATGGCTAGCTCACCTGCCTGGCCCACAAATTTATCCAAGCACCTTTCCTTCTTTCTTCCATCCACCTACCCGTCTGTGCGGTGGGTCAGTGTTGAAGAGTCGATTCTGACTCAGTGACCCTGTGTGACGGAGAGAACTGCCCCATCGGGTTTTCTAGGCTGGAATCTGTATGAGGGCAGCTTGCCAGGTCCTTTGCTCAGTAAGCGGCTGGGTGAGTATGAACCACCAAGCCTTTGGTTAATAGCTGAGTGCTTAACCGTTGTGGCACTAGGGCTCCTGAGCCCCCATGATCGCTCTGTCCACCAGCCATACATTCACCAACCATTCATCCGCCTACCAGTCCATTCAAACCTATTGCCATCAGCCTGACTCCAATTCATAGAGCTTTTACCTCATTTTTCTTCTATGGAGGGGCTGGTTATTTTGAGCCACTGATCCGGTGGTCAGCATCTGCCTAAGTAGGTATCCACCTGTTAACTCATCCAAGCAACCACCTTCTGACCCATACACTCATCAATCACGGATCCGCCACACTCCATCTCCACCCCATCTAGCCATTGTCCAACACAGCTGCCCAGCTGTCCACCCACTTGCTTCCTCATCAGTCAACCATCTACCAAGTGCCTGCTCTGTTCCAGACTGGGCTGGAGGTAGGGGACCCAAGGGGGCCAAGCAGCTCCCAGCCTAGCGGAAGAGAGAGACACTTCAGCTCTCAATTCAACCAAACCTGAACCTCACTGCCATCGAGTGGATTCTGACTCAGAGCGACCCTACAGAACAGGACAGAACAGAACTGGCCATGTGGGTTCTGAGCCCAGATCATTACAGGAGTAGAAAGCTTCATCTTTTTTCCCTGGAGCTGCTGCTGATTGCTGACCACCAGCAGTTGGGTTGGCATTGGGTTGGCAGCCCAACGCTTAACCCACTGTGGTAGTTACATAAATTCATGTCAACTTTGTAAATAAGTGGAGGGGTGGTGTCTAGCCTGTCAATCAGTCCACAGCCTGATGATGCCTCCTTGTGGGCATGGCCTTCTCATGAGGATTCTGGGAACGTCCTCTCTCTCTCTGCTTCACCTTCCTGCTGGAGAACCCCTTGGAGACCTGCTGCAGACCGACCAGACTCCTAGAGATGCACCCACCGATCCACAAGCCTGTGCACCCAGCAGCCTGTGATCTCCCTGAGAGCTCCCTGCATTCTGCATCGTTGCTTGTGTCTGTGCGAATCTGAGGAGGGATTTATGGACTAGTATCCTACTTAGGGACTTGACCTGGACTGGCTGGTATGTCTTCCTGATAGATAACTACTTCTTGATACAAAGCTCTCGCTTACACATACAGGAGTGTCCCTAGATTGTTTTTCTAGTCAACCTGACCTAACACACCCACTATGCCACCAAGGCTCATTGTCAGCTACAGCAGCCCCTGGAGAGTCTGGTTCAGGAGGGAAGTGACACCTCACTCAACAGCAGGGAGGTGCCATCTGAATTGGGCTGGGAGTTCTTGAGCCCAAATGGTAGCTGTTCTGGTTCCTAAACATTACAGCTTAGCACCTTCTGACCTTCAAGCTTCCTTCCGGGCTCCTTCCCATCCGACTTGCCCTCTGCTGGTCTCTGTCCAAACTCTAACCATTCACCAAGGCCCACAGGCACCACCACCCCTACTCCAGCAGGGCCCTGCTCTGGCTTCCCTAGTCCACCGTCTCCTGCCCACCCTCCTTGTGTCCTGCTCTGGCCCACTAGGGTCCTCCATCCCTCTAGTCTCCTAGTGTCAAGCAAGCCCAGGGCTGGGCATTCAAGAGATGTAGCGAACATCTCCTCAACATGGAGTGCCCAGGGCCAGGGGTGCTGGGCACAGCCGGTGGACAGAGCCAGCTCACCTGCAGGCAGTTGCCTGAGAGGTGGGTCAGGCCCGACGACGGGGGAGTGGGAGGCACGTCTGGGCTCAGGATCCCACTGCTGAAGAGGGAGTCGGCCATGGGGTTGAAGCTGGGGGGCTCCGGGAAGTGTAGAGGCATGGGCGGCTGTGGAGGGCGGTAGTTGGTGAAGAAATCTAGAATGGACAGACACAGGAAGGCGGCGGTGAAGGCTTGGGTGGCAGCTGGCAAACAGTGGGCAGGACAGCGGCCTGGTGCCCTCACCCCAGGCTGGGCCGGCGGTGGGGTGGGGGCCTGCAGACAGGGTGGGGGGACGCCTACCCTAGGAGATTGTGAAACAGGGAGTTTCTTTCTCACTCAGGGGAAGCTGCAAAGGCCAGGGGCATGGGGGAGGACGGGTGTGAGGGGTGAGCTAGGGGATGGCCCCAGGATGTGCAGGGACCCCAGAATGCAGCTCTCTCATGAGGCCCCCTCCTCACCCTCAGACCCAGGCAGCCCCCTGGCCTGCTCTCCTCAGCCCTGTTGGGGGGAGGGGACAGGAATGGAAGAAGGAAGATGAGAGAGAGCCTGTCAGGGAGGGAATGGGCTGGCTCCACAGGGCAGGGCCGAGGCCTGGGGCAGACAAGAGTTCAAGGGGTGAGCTAGCATCAGAGGGGTCAGAAGGTCAGAGGGCCTGGAAAGAGTGGGTATGTTGGCAGGTCAATGGGTGGGGTACAGGGTGGGCCTAGGAGTAGGTGAAGGGTCAAATGAGGTGACAGTTGGGGTCGGAGGTTGGGCTCGGTGAGGACAGGGGTGCGAACCCACTGGAAAGCTGGGGGCCATGGCTGTGGCAGGGAGGTGAGGGGCTGGATTGTTTGGGGTGCGGTTGTGTAAGACTTTGGCTATTCTGGTTTTGGGAAGCAGCTGCCTGTGGTCTAACCACATCCCGGGCCTGGGTGCCACGGGACCACCCATTCCCTTCCGGGCACCTTTCTCTGACCTGGACCAGCCTTCGGGACACACCAGCTCCTGAGGCCTGACCCCACCTTGGCAGCCCCCCAGGAGGCCTCTGGAGGGTCTCACAGCCTCGTACTCTGTTCTTGGCCCCCCACCCCCCTAGGACGGTGGCAGTCAGCCTCTGTCCCAGCAGCCACCTCCAAGAAGACCCAGCGTGGGCTAGGTCATCCCTGCCCCCCGCCCAGCCCAGAGCCCAGCAGGATCAGACTTGTGCCCGTGGCACACCGCAGCCCTCCCTGAGGCCTGGGAGTCAGCCCTCTGATGCTTGCAGCCCGGGCCTGTCTGGTCTGAGCCTGTGTCTGGGCACTCATGCGCCTTCTGCACCTGCCATTCCCTGGGTCTCATGGTCAGGACACCTGCCAGGATGCCCCCCTCTAGCACAGGGGTGGAGTGAGGGGTCATTCTCTCCCCACCCCCAGGGAGAGGGGGCTCAGCCTGGCTGTGGGCCACACAGCAACTTCCTGCCCACTGCCGGTGCCCACTGCCTGGGCACTGCTGCGAGTCAGGGGCTAGCAGGCCGGCTCCCGCCCTACTGTCTGCTGCTGCTCATAGATGCCCCCACCCCACAACCACTGGGAAGCCACTTCCTCGCCCCAGCCACCCACCAGACCCGGAGTGACTCCCAAGCCCTGTTCCCGTCGCCCACCCCCCAATGGACAAGCCAGCCCGTCCCTCCACACTCCTGGTTCTCCCTGCTGTGAGCGGCTAGCAGGGTCTAGCCCGAGGCCTCCCAGCCCACTGGGTTTCTCCGAGCCTGAGAAGGCCCCATCCTCACACCTCCTGACCTCAGTTGGCCCATGCACGTCCTCACCCCAGCGGCACCCCTTGTTAGGAGACATCGCTTCCCAGCCACAGCAGGGTCTTGAAACCTCTCCAGGCTAAGCATGGGCTCAGCGGGTGCCTACCTGTCGCAGGAGTCCGTGGGCCCAGACAGGGGGGCTGTCCTCCCAGGCTGCTCGGCTCCCAGGGCACTGCCATCACCACGTCTGCCCCTAAGCCCTCACCTCCCCGGGAGGCTGGGGGTGGTTCCTCATTCCCTAGGCTCCACCCCATTGGCCTCCACCCCGTGCTGGACAGGCCCAGGACCCTGGGAAGGAGAGTGGAGGGACGCTGACCCCTTTCCCCCAGGGACTCTCCTTCTCCCTCTCGGGGCCGGGCTTAGGCAGACTGAGCCCTGGTGTCCACTGGGCCCCCCAGCAGCCCCCAGAAGGAGAAATGTGGGGGCATCCTCTGAGATAGGCTGCAAAGGGGGAGTGGAGGCTGCTGTGGAAACACCACTGTAAAGAGAGGAGCCTCGCTAGGGGACCACGTGGGTCACCTTCCAGGGAACCGGTGGCCAGGATGGGGTGGGGGGGTGAAGCAGGACACATGTTACTTTTAAAAACCACATTTCAAGACAGGAGGATGCCTGGGATTCACTTAAAAGGTAGTGAGGGAGGAGAGAAGAAGTGAAGTCTGGGGGCAGCAAGGCTGGTGGCTAGCTAATTTGTGTTGCAACCAATTATTTGTTTGCACGTTGGAATGTTTCTGTTATATGTCATTTAGGAAAGTGTCTCATGGACCCTAAAGGAACTCCAAAACAACACAAGTCCCTCTCTGCCCTGAGAGCGTCCCTGGATGTCCCGGAAACCCGGAGAACAGCTTGCGGGAAGGATCCAAGCCTTGGGCTCACCTGAGCCCACAGCAGTCCCATCCCAAAGGTCTTGGCACCACCTGCCGCCGGCCCCCACCCCCTCCCGCACCTGAGATCTCCATGAAGTCATCCAGGCTGGGCTGCAGCGGTGTCAGGTCCGGCTGGATCATGTCGGCGTTGCCAGCGTAGGCTGCAGGGACAGCAGTGGCAGGCATCAGGATGGCACTGCCCCTCCCCATGCCCAGCGGTCCTCCCTGGCCGCTCCCAGCCCACTGCCGGGGCGCCGGCCCTCACCATCGTCGGGGGGCAGCGGCAGGGGTGGGGGGCCGGGCTGGGTCATGGTGAAGAGGGTATCAGAGATGTCGGACAGGAAGCAGTCGAGGTTCAGGAGCCCCCTGGGTTCCTCCTCTGGGTCCCCCAGCAGCACGGGCACCACGCTGGAGAAGAGCTGCTGGCACCATAGCTCTGGCTGCTGCCAGCCCCCCTCCGCCTAGGGACACAGAGGCATCAGCGCCGGCCACAGGGCTCCCGGGCCCACCTGGGGGGTGGGTGGAGGGGTCATCCAGCCAGAAGCCCCCTCCTCACCTCTCCCTGATGGACCCTTCTTGCTGCCTGGAAGGCCGGGGCCACCCACTGGCCTCAAACAACTCCCCCCAGGAGATGCACTGGGGTGGCCCACTGAAGAGCTAAGGGTCCCCTTCCTGTCTCCCCCACCCCTCCACCGCTGCCCCATTCCTTTTCCTGTCTGAGGCCCTCCTGCTCCCCCACCCACCGCAGCACCCTCCAAAACTTCCCTTCACAAGGGGTGAGGAGCTGAACCCAAGGCACTGCCAATCCTCCCCACCTCCTGGCTTCCCACCCGCACCCTCTATCGCTGCCCTGCCCACCCAGCAGCTGTTGTTAGCTCTTGATGGCCCGGGGAACACCCACCTGCTTAGGGGCCAGGAGGTCACCTTCCCTGCTGGACTTGCGGAGCTGCAGGGACACACAGAGTTGGGCACCAGCTGCTTTGGCCCCTCCTCCCCCGCCCCATCCTGACACCTGCCCTTCACTCACAAGCTCCCATCAGACCCCTGGGGTCCCCCCACATCCCCTCAGGAGCACCCTCCAAGTCAGAAGGCTGTGAGGAGACCCTGTGGCCACACGGTGGTGCTGGCCGGGCCTGCTCCAGCGGCAGTGGCGGTGGTGCCCCACGCGCAGGGTCCAGACCTCCCGGGCGTCCTGCATCCCCACTGACCCGCTTCTTGTAGTAGATGCGCCACTTGTGGTACTCGCGCATCACCACCTCAATACGCCGCTTCCAGTAACTCCCCTCCAGGACGACAGCCTGGGGAGGGTCAGACAGGGGTGGCGGGCTCAGTGAGAGGGGTGCCAGCGCCCCCCACTCCCTCCCTCAACCCCCGCTTCGGCCAGCCAGGGGCAGGAGAGGGAGCTGCTGGGAAGGCAGTCAGGTGGAGATGAGGTCCTCAGGCTCAGCTACCTGGGGTTTCCGGTGCTCGTCAGCCTCAGACCCTTGCAGGGGGGTCACGAAGCTGCACACTGGGCTCTTCTTGCGCTCTACATCTAAGGGAAGGGGTGCCCGGTCAGGGTGTGCCCGGCTCTCTCATCCGTCCATCCCCCATCCCATGGGACACAAGTGACACACCACAAAATTCTGCCTGGCCTTCATTGCAGTGGCCTCCCTGGGGTTGGTATCACCCCAGTCGGGGACCCCGTGGTATGTCTCCCCCCACGCCCCACCCTCACCCCATCCTCCCCACCCCCACCAAACCATGCAGAACCCTTACTCCTGCTTCTTACCTGTTTTAATCATAGCACAGTACGTGAGGAATCAAATTGTACCTTGCTTAGACACGAGTCTTTCTTAGATTATGAATATTAACGGAATGTTTTGTGAATGTCTCTTCATTGTTACAACCTTGTCGGGTAAGCATGACTAGAACCTGAGTCAGCTGATGAAACCACGTGATCCAAAGTGCCATTCTACCTGGGGACCGATGACAGCCCTGCCCGGAGCCCATCCCAAAGGCACACTCACTGCTGTGGAGTTGATGTTGACCCACAGCAAAAGGAGCCCTGCTGGTCTAGTGGGTTACACATTGGGCTGTTAACTGTGTTGGACTACGAACGGTCAAACTGGCAGTTCGAAACCACCAGTCGCTCCAAGGAAGAAAGATGAGGCCTTCTATTCCCGTAAAGATGCGTAGCCCTGGGGCCCACAGCAGGCAGTTCTACTCTGACCTATAGGGTCGCCCTGTGAGATAGTCTATTGTGCCAGCCTGGCTGATAAACACAAGTGGGATTAACTGAAGGGCAGAGAGACAAATGGCTTGGTGAGCCTCGCCTTTCTTGTCTCTCGCTCTGTGATCATCGGACCAGTGTGCAGCTGCCTTGCTTGTTCTGTGCCTCAATTTAAAGGCTACACTACCTGTGGGACGCCTAGCCTGTGGACTGTCTCGCTGTAAGTTGAGGTCCCTTTAAGACATCGCTGGAGCTGGGGACTGGCGGTTGGTGACCTGCCTTGTGATTGGCTGCTGTGCTGACATAGCCTAGCTCTCTCTACAAATAGAGGAAGATCTGGCAGCAGACTAGACTTGAAGGACTCCTAGTCTGTCACAACTCTCTCTCACGGACGTGAGTTGCACTGAACCATTTGTAGTGCTTTATAATTTAACTGTTTATTTCTTGTATTATATATTTATCTGTATATGATTTAGCAATTCATTTCTTGTTATATATCTAATTATCTTTATAAATAAATATATTGAATTATCAGCAATTTGGTTTTCTCTCTCTAGAGAACCCTGTCTAGCACACCCTGTCACAGGGGTGTTTTTATTTAAAACAATCGGTGGTAGAACAGGACACGGAAACAATAGAGTCATTTTGCTGTAGTCCCTTCTAACTCTGTCGCCTGGTACAGGGTTCCCAGCACCACCCCCACCGCCCCTACACCCCTAGAGAGACACCATAGCTCCATTGGCCAGATTACGTGCCACCCCCTCCAGGAAGCCTTCCTCCCTACTCTAGCCCTCTCACAACCCCCTCTTCAGTGCAGACTGCAAGATGAACCTCTCTAGCTCCTGTGCCTGGAGAACCTAGTAGGTGCACAGCCATGCGTGCTTCCTGGGACTGTGGGGCGACAGGTCACCTGGAGTGAGCATCCAGGGTCAGAATGGCAGGCCAAAGGTCCAGGGCCTTGAGTCCCCAGCCTCAGGGTCCTCCGAGCTGCTCACCTCCATCTCAAGCAATCACCTTGTCAACTTCAGGCCAGCTGAGCTCTCAGTCCACTTCTGCCACCCACTTCCCAGGGCCAGTCCTGGCCCTTCGGCCTCTTACCACAATCCAGGCTCTCCCTTATCTCTCCCTCCTTCTCTGGCTCTCAGCTCTGCTCTACCAATGAGCTCTGCTTCCACGCCTCGCCTCCCCTTGGCTTCCCCACCAACTTCTGAAAACTCACTTGGGAAGAGCCCACAACACTGACCACCACACTTCCTCACGTCCCAGTCTCCCTGGGAGCTCTGTCCCTCAGCATCTGTCCCCAGGGTCCTTGGAGCCCGTCTGTCCTGAACCCAAGGCCCCGGGCCTGTGGCCCTTCCCTAGCCTCAGAAACTGCACTGGCCAAGTCCCTAGTCACCCCTGCCTCCTCCTCCCTCAGGCCCCGGAACCATTCCTCATTCTTCTGCATTCCAAACTCCTTGCACTGACCCTCTCTGAGCTCCACCGGAAACCCCAGTCACTCCTGTCCAGCGCCAATGTCCTAGCGAGCTGCCTGTGACTCCCCCACTAGATGTCCCAGAGCTGGGCACACTCAGGAAGCTTGGGGACACTCCTCTCATGGACTACACGGAGGCCAGTGCCACCTCCCAGCCCAAACTCTCCGCATCTCCCCTCCCCTCCCCACTCCTCGCCCCCCACAGCTTTCCCAGACAAGCCCTCTCAAGCCCACAGGGCTGGTGACATCACTCCTGCTGCTCCATCCTCTCCCTGTCACCCCAGGTGTCATTTCTCACCTGGCCCACCCTTGACAGTCTCCCGCCCACCTTCCTGCTGGGCCAGCTCGGTGCTCCTGAAGGCACCATTTAGACCAGGGACCCCACGGCTCCCCAGAGCCTTCAAGATAAAGCTGACTCACCCAAACGTGGCTTCCACCTCCCTCTCCCTGGCCCTTCTCTGCTTCTCCTGCTCCCACTGCCCTGTTAGTCTCCGACCTCGAAGCTAGACCGAGCCTGTGGCCATTCCCACCCCCAGCTCATCCTTGGACCCTTTTCCGTATGGGAAGCTCCCTGCCCCTCCCTCTGCCTCATCCCCATCTATGGCCCGCCCCTTCAAGAGAGCCCTCCTCCAGGAAGCTCAGCCTCTGGCCAGTGGCCCTGTCTATCCAGCTCGCATCAGCAGTGACTTCTTTGCAGATTTCTCTCTCTCCTGGCTGAGAGGGAAGCAGGAGCCCTGGCTGTTGACAGGCTCAGGCCTCAGGCCAGAGCAGGCCCTCAGCAGAGGCCTGGTCTCACACAGAGTGGCAGCCCTGAGCAAGAGGTGGACTGGGCCCTTCCTGATGTCCTCGGCAGCCTGGCCTGCCTCGGCCAACTTCCTCAGAGACCAGAGAGCACACACAGAGGGAGGAGATGCCGGGAGCATGAAATGCACTGGGGCCTTTCGCCACCTCGGACAGCGTCTTGCCTTCAAGGGCAAGGAGCTGGGGCAGTGGGGTGCTTTAGGCACAGGGCTGCTAACCTGAAGGTTGTTGGTGCAAACCCACCAGCCGCTCGGCAGGAGAAAGATGAGGCTTTCTGCTCCCATGGAAAAGATTTCCAGTCTCAGAAACCTGACAGAGGGTCACCGAGTTGTACTTGACTGGTTGGCCTGAGTCTGGTCTTGGTCTTAAAGGGACAGTTCCCCACACAGACACCCAAGGGACTGGGAGAGAGGTTGAAACAACGCTGGCTGTTCAGCCAGAAAACAGAGAGGCCTGTGGGTGCCTGGCCCCCTGGGGGATTACAGCAAGGAGGGCCTCCAGGAGTTATCTAGCCCTGGGCTCCCCTCTTCCACCCAGGGACCCTGTCCTCTCCACAGAGGGCAGTGGCAATGTGGCTTTCCTGGGGCTAGGGCTGGGGCTGGGGCAGCTTTTCTATAACAGACACGTTTACCTGTCCCCTCTGCCACCTAACCTTTTGCACCTATGCTGGGCAAGGCCTGCAGGGGTGAGTCAAGGCTCACAAGATAAGGGCAAGCACACTCAGAACAGGAGATAATGTGCCGCAGAGAGGTGCAAAGGGCTTGGGGGACTCTGAGGACACCCAGGCTATTTGCAGGTATGGGAGGCATGGGAAACCAAGGAAGGGCAGTGAACTCGGAAGTCAGGAGTCTACAGAGAGGAGAGGCCAGCTGCCACAGTGATCAGCCTGCCACAGCCCCTCCAGTGCTCCCCAGCCCAGGATCGACAGGGAAGTTGATGCCCAGTGAGGGAGGAAGTGTCCCGGCTGGCATTCATCCTGTGCCTGCCTTGGACTGCTACCTGCGTCACAACAGTCGCAGTGGGTCCTACCAGCTAGCCCTCAGGAAGCCCCTACTGTGTGCCGGGCCGTGCTACACTACAGCAGAGCCCTGAAGGACCCAGTGTTAGTCGTTCCATCTGACAGATGAACTAGCTGGGAGGCC